GTGCTATAGCTCCCAGACAATTTTCCCCCTGACTTCTCTCAGTGCTGTAAGGAAGGCACCAACTTTAGCCCAGCCCAGCCCACCTGCTTTCTGAAACTTCTCTTCAACTGAGCTACTTGCTAAGGTGCTGGCTTTTGTAATCATTCCATCCCTTCTCATCTAGGTCGATAATTGACCAGGGTTGGCTGGCCCCTTGCCTGGCCATTAAAGGGCCGACCACCCTGTTACACCAGAGTTATAATTAATGCTAACAAAAATGTTGGAAGGGATAGTAATTAAACCTAATTTTTCTGGGCTAAAGGTAATCCAGAACTATTAGAGATCAGGAGTCACAGGTTTCAAGCCCAGAAGGGACCATTGTGATTATCTCACCTGATCGCTAGGGTAAGACCTAAACTGGACAGAAGGTTATTCTAGATCTGCCTACTTTGTGATTCTTACACTTTCCTCTGTAGCATCTGTCGGAGTGAGGATACTGGCGTGTCTGGAGCCTGGACCTCAGGTCTGAACCAGGCTGGCAAATCCTTTGTATGGAAAACACCAAATGCAGTGTGGATGTTACTGGAAACAAATAACAAATCTAATGACTATTATTACTACTACTCCTAATCCACCCTCTCAGTCCCCAACAGTTTATGCGTAGAGAAAAGACGTGAAGCCAGTTCAATATTCCCTGTTGTTCCGTAAACACCATCCATTGTCTTTCAGATGAGACGATCTATCACAGAAAGAGATGATCATAACTCATTTGCTGCACTTGTTAAATGGAAGGAAAAGCTTGGTTGGGTTAGTTCCAATGTTGTGTCAGCTCTTATTTTATCTGAACTGTTTCATTCATTCCCTATACAAAGTATGCCTGCCACCCGGTGTTGAAAGCCCAGACCTAAAGATGAAGACAGCTGTGGAGGTAGCACTATGCCTGCAAGAGTTCATAGACTGTAATGCAATGTGATTTCTGAATGGAAAGCATCCTGCAGTACAATCTGTGGCACTACAAATCCCAAATCATAACAGCACATAACTACTAGCAGTGTTCCTCCTTCCATTCAATCCCACAGTTACCTACATTCCGGACCAACTTGGTGTCTCCTCACTTTTGTTGTGGCAAATGGATTACATCAGAATGCAAAGCTCTGAGGTTATAGTCATTTATATTAAAGGAAGGGATTCATGCAGGACACAGCCGTCAGTGTCCTGCATGAATGATTTATTTATGCCCCTCATTTTGGATCTTTGTCACACACTGCATCCTATGTTTGGGCCTTGGCAGGCAGAGGGGTATGACTTGTGGGGGTATAGTTCTGCCCTGACTGGATAAAGAATGTTGGGTTAGAACCTTGGGTCCAGCTGAGCTGAGCTGCAGGACTCCAGGAGGAGAGTAAAGGTGATGTTCCTCCACCTCTCTGCTCCCCTGACCCTAGGCACAGATGAGGGGACCCAGTTCATACCCTGGCTTAAGCTGGAACAGCTTCAGGGCTGCTTTCATTTACACTGGCTGGTAACAGCCCACTAGATTGCAGCCCAGGATAGCTAGAGTGCAAGTCACTCTCGCCACACTCCCAGCTGATTCCTGTCATGCCCTCAGAATGCTCCCTACTTCAAGGACACCAGAAACAGGTGACTACATTAGACAGGATAAAAAGGATGAAGGCTATAAACCCTCAGGCTTTGCTTCAGGGAATGAGCCAACTAGGAAATGGCAGAGGTCAGGAAGCAACATCAGCTCTGGGCAGCTTGTTCCATAACTCTTCACTACAGGGATTCTTACACCTTCCTCTGAGGGACCTTGTGCTGGTAGAGACTAGAGCTGTGTGAATAAGGACTTGTCTACATGTGAAATGTGACCGTGGCAACGCTGAACTGGTGTCGTATTTCAGTGTAGATGCTACCTATGCTGACAGGAGGAATACTCCCATTGGTGTAGGTAATCCCCCTCCCTGAGAGGAGGTAGCTAGCACTCTCTACACCCAGGGTTAGGTGGGCTTAACTACACTGCTCAGGAGAGTGAATTTTTCACACCCCTGAGAGATGTAGTTAAGCCGACTTCATTTTCTAGTGCAGCGGTTCTCAAACGGTGGGTCGGGACCCCTGGGGTCACCAGGGCTGGCTCAGACTTGTTGGGGCCAGGGCCAAAGCTAAAGCCTGAGCCCCACCGCCCGGGACTGAAACCAAAGCCCAAGGGTTTCAGGGGCTCAGGTTACAGGCCCCCTGCCTGGGGCTGAAGCCCTTGGGCTTCAGCTTTGCCCCCACCCCCTGCCTGCGATGGTGGGGCAGCTGAGCTCAGGCTTCAATCCCCCCTCCTGGGGCCATGTAGTAACTGTTGTTGTCAGAAGGGGATAGCAGTACAATGAAGTTGGAGAACCCCTGTTCTAGTGTAAACCGAGCCTAACACATTTTTCAGTTTTGCGGTCTGTTTTGAATATTGTTTTAAAAAAGCATTTTGGGTTGGCTGGAGACAAGACAATTTTTTGGCAAACCAAAAAGAAAAAAAAATCATATTGGGCCCAATGCAACATTTTGTTCGACCCAAAGTGAAATGTCTTGTTTTGTTTTTGAGCTTTTTTTAAAGGGTTTAAAATAAAATAAAAAAAACACCTGAAGTAAATTTGGACACAAAAAGCCATTTCAAATAGAAAAAAATCAAACGGTTTGTTTAGAAAATGTTGAAATGAAACATGCTGTCGTTTTCAGATTTCTTTTTGGTGTGTGAAACAATTTGGCAGATTTGACAGGAATCAGTGAAATGTTTTGGTTCACCTCAATCTGCATTTTTTTGGTCCAAAAAGGTTTTGGGTTGAAAAAGTTCACCAAGTTCTATCAGAGACAGGATAACGGTGTCGCTGGACCTGTGGTCTAATCCAGAATTATCAATTTCTTCTTGTCAAGCAGGAAGGTAGATGGCTCAGGTTACTAATGGACTTCCATCTCTAGGTCACCCATTCAAATGCTGCCCAGGCTAAAGTTGGGGCATATTGGCAGGGCATTAGCGAGAAGTTGGAAAAGCTGAGCTGTAACTAGACTTTATTTTCCAGTTTGGTCAATCTGGTGCCTTTAAGAGTGATACAGTCACTTTAGACGAGAACCCTGAATTGTCTGAGAAGAAGCTGCGTGGAAGGCACTCTGGTGTGATCATTCATGCAAAGGCTATGGGTAATCTTACTGGATTCTACCAGAATGCATTTTATAGCAATTGCACACGGCATTGTTATGAGCATAACAGAGCACTCTTGCTGAGGAAGGCTAATGAAAGTGAAGTCTAATTAAGTTTTCAGAGAGGTACCCTTTCATGGTCTATTGGTTTGGCCATTTAGGTCTTAATAGCACAGTGCCGGCATTGTGGTGACGTGATTGAACAATTAGTGAAGAAAGACCCATCCCATTAGTGGCTTGGGCACCTATCATGCAGGCGTGAATTCGTGTTGTACCTTGATTTCCTGCTCCTGGGGATGATGAGTCTGACCCAGATGCTCGTGGGTCCTTTAGTTCCCAGCTTGAATCAGCATCTTGTCTCCATTAGGGATTTTTGCACTGGTAGAATGTACAGTAGTTAGAATGTTAAAGCTGGCTCTGCTTGTTAAAATGATCAGCTCTCTCCAAGGCTGGGGCTGTGCCATGGGCATATACACAATTGCCGTGGCAGCTCCTGGTAAAGGAACACCCCTCCTGCATCCTACCATCAGTCCATGGGGGTGTATCACATGGGTCCCCTCCACCGGCCACTGCATGAGGCAGAGGAGACAGGACTGAGCCACGGCTGCATTGAGTGGGATCCTTGCAGGCTGCCTCTCCCCAGCAGCGCATGTCCCAGTCTGAAGTTTGAAGAGCTGGTACTGGGGGGCAGCCTGGAACTGGGAACCCCATCCTGAGCCCCCCTGGGGAAACTCACTCCAATTCCACACTGGCTAGGGGAGACTGGAAACAAACAAGGGAGACATTGGAACACAGGGATTTCTATATTGGATCAGACCCAAAGTCCATCTAGTCCAGTAGCCTGTCTCAGACAGTGGTCAGTACCAGATACTTTGGAGGAAGGTGTAAGAGTCCTGCAGTAGGCAGATCTGAGAAAATCCCCCCCCCCACGACACACACACGCTTTCTCAATTCAGGGATCTAATAGTTCTCAACATAGAGGATCCATTCCCATCCAGGGAACCCACTGTCCATCCAGCCAATCACTGCATGCCCACAGGATAATTCACCTGCCAGCTCCACTATAGGCAGGGGCAGCAAGACACCTGCCTACCTCTGCTGCTGCTGTGTGGAACAGCTGCTAGACAGAGATGTCACTCAGTGGGGTTCGTGTTCCTATGACACGCTGGGAGGGCAGGGGTCAAAAGGGATGGGCGGTGGAAGGACTGAAGGGTTCGGAGAGGTGGATGATTTTCAGTGGAAAGCACATTTTACCCAGGGAATGTAACATTTCCAGCTGAGCGAAGTGGAATGATCTTAAGGGAGTTCCTTTGTTAAACTCTCAACAGCATATCACCATCACTGGTATGACAACACGTTCCAGTCCATGTACTCCAGAGCAGCGTGTCCTCACTGGGATGGTGATGAACTTCACATGTGCCTGGTCAGGGGCTTTAGAAGCCCCCAGATTTCCCCTAGTTCCTGTTACCTCTTTCCTCCTCTCCCCCAACTCCAGTCCCTACATTTTGTTAATACACAAGGTGGAAATTCTTACATCAGCTGGGTTCTAACTGGCACCATCCCCTTCCATGCCTGCCACTGTGGTTGCTGCTTGTGTATCAGTCCCCTATTGCACTGCTTGTGGAGCTGCTCCCTGCCTGTTATTTAACTTCCTTTCACGTCATTAAGGGAGGTGGCCCATTACTCCAGGCCTATCCCTGTAGACCGCAAAGGTAGGGGATTATGGCTGTAGAGGCAGGTTATAGTGTCCAATAGGAGTTTTAATTCTCTTCTCTGCCCCTCATTGGCTTAATATGGGACCAAAGGGGGAAAAAGCCCTAATCTGTGAAATTAACCAGAATGGCATCGGATGGGCAGAGGTATTATCTTTATTGAAAGTTTACAGAAATACAGTAGGAGTCGGTATACAGGATATATGCAAGTTCTCCAAAGGTTGCCTACGTTCTCGGCATTTGCAGGAAATTCCATGGAGGAGTTTTGTTTTGTTTTAATTCTTTGGGGTTTATCGGGCGGCTTCAGGATTCTCCACTATGAACTCTCAAGGATAAAGCTCTCTGGGGACGGGGAATGGTAAACTAGTCTGGCCTTCAAATGAAATTCAATGAATAAATGTATAAAAAGAGGAAAAGAACAAAATATACAAGGGAGTGAGGGGAAGAGAGAGAGAGAGAGAGGACGTGGTAGCAGCCTGAACACATCTGATATGTCCTGAATCTGCCCTGCTTTACTTCTCAGTTTTATCTTGCAGTAGCAGGCATTTTTCCTCCCTCTCTTGAGCTCTAAATCAGTGCACATACTTCCCGGTAGATCTGGAGTTCAGCTCTCCCAATAGGGCTATTTGCTGTTTTCCATCTAAAACACAGCTCAGCGCTTGGGCTGCTTATGTAACTTTAATCAGCGGATCTTCGATGACACAATGTTCTCTCTGACTCCTCGGCCGCCACTATGGTTGCAGCATCTAGCTACACAGCTATTGGCTCATGTTGTGGTTAGTTCTAAGCTTTGCATATTGTCATCACCCACTTTTGTTTATCATGAAAATAAATATTTTTCTGTAAAAAATGTAAAAGTAATTTCTTTTTCTACAGAAGTGCAAATACCAGTCAGGGTTGGGAGTTGGGGGAGGAGGGGCGTGGGTTGGTGGGTTTTACTTTGTATTTATTTTTTGCAATCAAGATGGATTGTTGTTTCATGTCCTTGCTGGAGGAAATTCGATGGACACTTCTGGCACTGAGGCATTTCGGCAGCGGCTGCTGGCCTTGCTCTAATAGTCAGTGAGCGGGTAGCGCAGGAAGATGAAGACGAGGATGATGCAGAAAGTGGCGAGTGCCGAGCTGGTGATGTTAAAAAGCCGGGCTGTCTTGGCATCTTCGACAGCTCCGTTCAGGTCATTGAGGAGTTTCTTATCCCGGACCTGAGACAAAAAGAATTTGGAGAGACATAAAAAAAAAAAAAAAAAAAAGGACAAGCAAACTAACCAGCTTAAAGTGATATAAGCAGGGGTTAGTGCGTTTGGACACTTTGTACCTGTTTCTACTGCATTCCAAAGTTGGGTGTAATTCCTGGCACTATCGTGCATTCAGGTATGGATGCTGGGTGCACTATAGGGTGAATTCTAGCACTAGTGCATGCTTCCTATTGTATTCCGAAGGCGGGAGTGTGAATCCCAACACTAGTGAATGCTTTCTATTGTATTCCGAAGGCGGGAATGTGAATCCCAACATTAGTGAATGCTTCCTATTGTATTCCAAAGGTGGGAGTGTGAATCCCAACACTAGTGAATGCTTCCTATTGTATTCCGAAGGTGGGAGTGTGAATCCCAACACTAAGGTGCTGGGGTTTGGGTCCCACTGCCTTTAGAGTGGGAACGCTGGCACTTGTTCCATTGTGAATGTGCTTTCTACTGCATTCAGAGACTGGGATTGTGAAATCTGGCATTAGCTCCTACAGCAGTTAGAGGCTATGCACAATCTTACAGCATATTAATATGGCTAGGTTAACACACTCTTTTGGCAGGTCCTATGCAGTTTATGCCTACCAATGCTGCAACTGACAATTTTCAGCAGTAATGTCATGGTCTTATATGCATGCTATTTCAGAGGCCGTGACTTTAAACGTGTCCATGTTGGGGGAGGACAGGATGGCTCTGAAGATTGGTAATGACCTTGTACACTCATGAGTTTGACAACAGTCCATGCTGATAGTGACCGAATGGTGTTATCACTCAGCAGCTGGTCAGTAGTTTACAATATATCAAATATGCCGGTGTTCTCAGTCCAGTTCGTAGCAGATGCACGTCCACACCACAAAATCACCATCAGAACTGACACTGATTAGACCCTGGCCAACAGTCTCAGCAAACAGGATAGGGACAGAATGGGCCTGGAGATTTACCTCTTCACTCCCAGAGGTGGTCAGAGTGGGGCAGCAGGGGAATGCAGTCCTTGTTGTACCTATTCCGGGGATGGAGGATTTCAGCCTCCAGTAGTTGCTGCTTCCCTCAGACCCTAAATTTGCTCTCAGAAATGTGAACACGTTTATGGTGCTCCTGTCTGAACACTAGATGTCGCTGGCAAGCCGCGTAAACCACTGAGCCTGCACCACAGTCCTACCTAGAAAGAATCGAATGCTTTTATCGACCAAGAGTTTTCCAAAAATACACCAGGATTGATTTCAGTCACTTTTCAGTGATTTGCTCTGTAACTCTGGCAGCACTTACAAGCCGACGCTGGCCTGGGAGCTTGACATGACTCACTGGACACAGGGCGGTAACGGCCGCCTCAGTCTCAGAAAATTGCTGTGTGATTCCAGCTCACAGAGGCCTGAAGCTCATTCCAGACCTTGGAGTAACGTCCCACGCATTCTAATATGTGGCTTCTTCCACTCTGTTGCCCTGGAGGGGAGGGTCCTTTGCAAACACACTCCCTGTTTTTATAATGCTTCACACCGGCCTCTGGGAAGGAGTCTTTCGCTGACATAAGGCTGCATGCGAGACCCTACTGCGGCGGTCAGTCAAACACGTAGCACATGTATGTTAAGTATCTGTACCTCGCTCCCCCACCCGCCATGGTGCATCTAGACCTGGAGAGCGTCTAGTGACACGACCAGACTGTCACACGCACCCAGCAGCAGCTACTGAGAACAGCAGCAGTCAGATGGAGAAGTGAGCCACTCTCTCATGGGGCCTGTTGCTCTCCCTGCAGAGCAGAGTAAGCACAAGAAAGCTCTTCCTTTTCTGTGCAGGCCCCTATGCAAACTCAGCAGGGGGAGGGGGGCTTCAGGCAGACAAGCCCAAGCCGCTGCACAGCTGAGGTCTGGGGATGGAGGAGTTCGGAGGTTAAGAGTACAGGTTTCATTATCTTGGGCGGAAGGGAGTAGGTTTGGGAATCAAGCCCCAAAACACCATGTAGTGAGCACCAGAGCTCACCATGGATACAATCCTAATCTGTTGGCAAAGCTGCCAGCGGGGATCTCCCATTACGAAAGGGAGCTGGGCAGACGCATGCTCTGTATCCCACGGGGTCAGCCCCGCTCACCAGAATGGAAATCATTCAAGGAAGGTCCTAGGCAGAGCTACACTCCTGAGAGGCCGAGGGAGAGAGGGGACAAGTATTCATTGCGTGAGACAAACTCCTCCAGGGACACTTCTACTCCTCCACCTCCCTCCTACTGGCCTCCTCTCACCATTCTTCTCTATTTCTCTCCAGGCCTCTCTCTCCTTCCCCTTCCACCTCACCCCCCTTTCCCCATTCAGATGCTTCCCACTGGTCTCCTCTCCCTCCCCTCCCTTTTCCCATTTTTTCATTCCTCCTTTTCTTCCTGCCCTCTGTCTCTCCCCCCCCCCCAGCTTCTAACTTCTCTCCTTCACTCAGCTCCCATCTCCCCCCTCGTCTGGAGCCGCCCTTTCCTCTCTTCCCCACCCTTGGTTCTTCCCTGCCTTCACTCCTTCCGCTCCAGTTCTTGCACCGCTGAGCATTTTCACAGAGTGTCCCATGACTGCACAGATTGCTGCTCTCCTTCCTCCTCTGCCCTCCTCCCAGCTCACAAGATCTGCTTCTTCTCCCTTGTCAATTTCTGTGCTCCCAGCCCCTCTGTACCAGGAACGCCCTCCTGGACCCCTCTTCCCAGCACCTACCCTCCTCCATTTCATCCTCAGCCCCGGATCTTACCAGCTTGCACATGTGTTCCAAGTGAGAATATCCATCAAGGACTCTCTTCTGCCACCTTCCCCAACCCTTCCACCACCCACCCCACACTCTCCTCCTTCACCCTTGCTTCTGACTGATGTCTAACCCTCAGCATGCCTCTGCTCACTCAGCCTGTCCTCCTGTCCCCATCTAGTCCTCTCCACCATGGTTCCGTCTCCGATTCCCTCCCTTATCACTCTGCCCTCTGCCTCCTTCCCCCGGCATACTATTGATTCTACAGTCTCAGCTGCTTCTCTAATGTCCACCTTCTCCTGAAAACTCCTCCAGCGTGCCCCATGCTCTTCCCCTCTCCTTGATTCCCTCCACTCTGGCTTGTGCCCTCTCTGCTCCACCAAAAATGTCCTGACAGGTGGCATAATATGACCTATCTCCTCCTAGCAAATTCACAGGGAGTCTTCTCTAGCCATACTTTACTTGAGCTCACTACCGCCTTCAAAATATCTGAGCTTTCTTTTGCCCTCTGCTTTCTCCCCAAGTTCTCTTCTGACTTCTTTGATGGCTGCTTTGGCCTCCCCTTTGTTGGCACTTCATCCTCCCCACCCCCTCTGTCTGTTGGACTCCTTCAGGGTTCTGTCCTTGGTCCCCTCCTCTTTTCCCATATGCTCCTGTGGCATCAGCTAGCACCTCTATTCAAATGATTCATTGTTATTCATTAACATTTATATTGTGGTAAAGCCTAGAGGCTCCAATCAACTGTCAGGGCCCCACTGGGATGGGCATTGTATTCACATATAATAAAAAGACAATCTCTGCCCCAAATTGTTTACAGTCTGAGTAAGCTTCCTACAGCTTTCTGTCCTGGCTTCTCCTCTTCTGTCTGGGCTCCCATCTCCAATGCCCACTCGGCCATCATCCCTGGTAGCACAAACTCAATCTCTCTAAGAGTAGATGAACATTTCCTCTCCTTCCCTTCTCTGTCACCAGTAAGGAGTTGCCCATCCTCCCTGTATCCCGGCCTCACCACCGTCTATCTCGATACTCACATGACCATTACTATGATACTTCAGTACCCCACAAACATTAAAGCATGTGTCCTCACAACCCCTCTGGAAGGCAGAAGAACAGCATCTCCCTTTCAGACAGGAGGCACAGAGATGCTAAGTGACTTGCCCAAGGCCACACAGGAAGGCTAGGTGGTAGAGACAGGAATTAAACTCAGAGCTCGTTTGTCCCAGTCCAGTTCCTAGGGTTCAAAAAAGAACTAGATAAATTCATGGAGGATAGGTCCATCAATGGGTATTAGCCAGGACGGACAGGGATGGTGTCCCTAGCCTCTGTTTGCCAGAAGCTGGGAATGAGCGACAGGGGATGGATCACTTGATGATTACCTGTTCTATTCATTACCTCTGGGGCACCTGGAATTGGCCACTTTCGGAAGACAGGATACTGGGTTAGATGGACCCTTGGTCTGATCCAGTAGGGCCATTCTTATGTTCTTAATCACAAGTCCATCCCTTATCCATGTCACTTTGCGAGTGATAACAGCAATTCTAGAAGGGATTAGACCACAGGCCTTAAACCAACCTCTAATCATTGGAGATTCAGAGGAAATTATCCCACATCTGCCTGCTGCGAGGTCCCTATTCCTTCCTTTGAAGCATCTGGTGGCTAGCATGGTTAGAGACGGGATACTGCACTAGATGGGCCTTAGATCTGATCCAGTATGGCAATTCCTACGTTTCTCTCGCCTTCCTCCCCACACCTCCATAGACAGCCTTTAAATCCAGTCTTGCACTTTAACTTCACCAGATCCAGGTTCTCCTCTCCAACCCCACTAATGGAACTTGTACCTGCCTTGGCCAACTTTCCCCCGGCCAACTGTCACTGCCTTTCCAGGCAGTTGCTCACCTCTCTCCCTTCAGCATATCCAGAATGCCAGCACTAGAGTCATCTTCCTCTCCTGCTGTTCTGTCCCCACCACCGTCTGTCCCTTTCCACTCCTGTTAGGCTTCCTGTCTCATAGTTCATCAGCTCCAAGCTCCAGTATCTCTGATCTCATTTTCTCCTACTGCCCAACTTTCTCCTATGTGCCTCCCAATCCTCCCTCCTCATCTCTCCCCTTTGTCTCTTTCTTGCACCTTCATGTGTTCTGGACTTGGAAGTCTCTTGTCTACTTGTTTGCTCAGTGTCCACTATCTTCTCCTTTCAACATTCCCTTTCTTCCAGGGATCTCTCCTGCCTTGGTTTCCTCAGCAACGCTCTCTCC